GGTCAGTATTAAGTTTGTGAGTTGTCAGACTGGGGTTAATATTGGGCATGTCGGCTGCGGACCAGGCAAAAATGTCTAAATTTTGAAGTAAAAAACTCATCAGTTCGGTTTGTAGTGGTTCCTCGACGGAAGCACCGATCTGTAGTGAGCGAGCTGGGTCTGTAGCCGAAGTCGGGACTGCGACCGTTTCCTCTGTGGGTGAAGCTCGTTCCTCGCCTTGCTCCGTAGGCCGCTCCAGTTCAATGTCGTCGGCCGCCTTGGTTTTTCCCTTCAGGGCGGCAACATAACACTTGCGGGACTCGAGCTGGTCGCCCCGCGCTACCCCCACACCGAAGTCTGTAGGGAACTTTCATTGCCAAATAGTATGTGGAGACCACTGCCCGCAGGATATGCATAATTGGCCGCCCTATTATGGCATTGTATGGGGAAGGGGTCGCGACCAACAGGAAATCATGGTTGAGTCTGACCGCACAAGGCCATGTGCCGACTTCCATGGGTACTGTTATTTTTCCGAGGGGCCTGACTTCCTCTCCGCTGAAACCCACCAGAGGAGTGTTCGCGGGCTTTAGCTCGCTCTTCTGTAGCTGTAGCTGGTCAAATGCTAACTTGAAGAGGATGTTCGCCAAGCTGCCCGAATCCACGAGTACGCGCCTGACCTCGAAGTCGCTGATCCTTAGTTTTATGACTAGCCCGTCATCGTGGGGGTAGTGGGCCCCTCGCGCATCGTCTTCCGTGAAGGAGATCGGCTCTTCAGTCTTTGGTCTCTTTGGGGGGTTCTGTTCCTCTTGGGTTGCTTCGCGAACTGACGTCTGAGCCGCTGCCGAAATACACCCTGCTAYCACCGAACCTCCCACTATTACATGAATGGTTTCCCGAACTGGCCTCTCTTCCAGAGGCTGTCGCTGCAACGGTTTGGCTGGTCTGCTGCTAGATTCGGGGGCATCCTTTCCGTTCTCCCCTTGCCGACCTGCCTTATTGTTATTATTATTATCATGCTGTACAAAATTCCTTAAGTATCCGCGACGAATGAGTCCCTCTATCTCGTCCCGGAGATTATTACACTGTTCGATACTATGACCGTGGTCTCTTTGGAAACTACAATACAAATTTTTATTTCTCTCGTTCGGATTTCCCTTTAGGCGAGGTGGCCACTTTTCGTATGGGGCATCCTTGATCGTCATTAAGATCTCGGTCCGCCTCGTGTTTAACGGCGTGTAATCCGTCTGAACTGCTAAGGGAGCTCGGAACGACTGGTTCGGCTTCGGCTCCCGGGCCGGGTTTTTTCTGTCGACCGGGTTGGAGGGCTCGCCTTCCCTCTTTCTTTTCTTGTTCCCGCTTTCGGTCCGTTGGTTGATTTCTTTCTCTGTTCTCATGAACTTATCCGCGAGCTTGAGGAATTCGGCCACAGTTGCGGGCTGGTTAGCTACCATGTGCCATTTGAACTCTTTGTGCGTTACTCCTCTCTTGGCCGCCGCGAGCTGCACCGCGGGGTCTAACCGCGGTATCTGC